TTATTCTCCACTAGTTGAACTTAAAATTTCAATTTCCACTGGATTCTTGTCAGTGGAAATTGAAATTTTAAACTCCACTAGTGGAATTCTAAATTCCACTGAATTTTAATTTCCACTGTAACATATATAACAAGTGTAAGTATATATAACACTATTTTTTGTGTATTTCACTTGTTTGCTACTGACGAAGGAATTTGAAAGAGCTTTAATATTCTACACTAGATTTTTCTCTTCTGTTTTTGTTAATAAAAATTTCAAAAATCAACTGGAGTATACATTAATAAACACACACACGACAACACTCTATCATTAGTCAATATCGCCATCCAACCTATTTATTATCATGCGAATTTTTTGTCATTATTTTCGTGTTTTCAATAATGCTTTTTGCAAAGCTCTGTGACTGTTTTTTCAACTTGCATTCTGCATCTGTTTGTAGAATGAACAGCGTTCAATCAAAAATGAACCAGTCAGGCTCATTCTTGCGTCATTTTCCTGAAAATACTCCAAACGCCGAAACTACCCTGTTTTTCATTTTTGGCTGCTAATTATTAATTGAACATTTTTACCACGTCGAACGGTGAGGATGAAATGAATGTTGCCCCAACTGATCGAGGACATCTATATGTGCCAAGAAACGGCCCGAGATCTTTTTTCTGTCATTCCGGACATGGGTTTCAAAATTCAAAATTATCGTTAGAGATAGTTTTATTTTCGGAAAGTTTTCGAACATTCCAATTTCTGTTTAATTAAGACTGGATCTAAAGTCTCAGGATCATCTTCTATATACCACTTTGTAAAGAATTAAAGGGTGAATCTTTTGCAGAAAACAGGTGACTTTAGAGCGGATAAACTTCAAAATGTTGAGAGATCGGTTTCTCCTCCATGCCCGTTACTGGCTGTTTTGCGCATTCATACGCTTATGCCGAAAAAACTTTTTTACGTTTACGAGTGACATTCCTCTGCGATTCGTCGGCCCTTGACTGGATGGACTTTGTTCAGATAAAGCCAAAACCCTCCCGAAGAAGATGACTACAGTTTGATACTGAAGTAAAGAACCGACGAAAAAAAATCACATACCAATTTTACACGGACACCAAATATTTCTGGTGCATTTGTTTGTATTACCATTAAATCAGTTAATACTGTATCAACACGTTCTTTACTTTTATAATAAATAGTACTATTTGTTGCATTGATGTAATATTGTGGAAAACTCTTATAAATATCTTGTTTTAATTCATCAACATTAGAATAGTTTTTTTTACGTAAGTCCATTGTATCATTTAAACAAGAAACATTTATATTAAACATTATGAAAATTTTAATTATGTAGTACTTATTTCGGTTAAATGATGCAGAATAAATTTAGTTACTCTTTTATGTTACTCTGAAGAGTAAAAACACAAATGACACTGTGTGTTATTTC